AGCGGTCTAGCTCGTATTTTCATATACGGACGTTGGCCTTGATATAATTGATGGTTTCCTCGGAAGCACATTTGTCGATACTCGCTTGTAATTTGTCAAATTTCTCACTAAGAAGTTCATAAACAGAGTCCGCAAGCACAGATATTTCTTCTTTGGATAATTTATTTCCTTTTTTTCCACTCATAGTTGTTGTTTGAAGTTGTGGAATATGTATAAATTGAATATTTTGTATTAGAAATTTACAGCATGGTCGCTGCCATTTTACCGGAAGTCAGATTAAAAATGTAAAAAATAATAACCGCTCCCTGACCGGTGTTCACAAATCTGATACTACGAAAACTTATCCGATCATGTGGAGGTTAATGACTACCAAATATTTCCCCCTATATATAACGTATAGTAAAAAGGCCAAGTCTAAGACAAAATATCTCAAAATCCGCCGCATACAGTATGCCACATGCATACCTTTTCTGAAAGATCTCCAAAAATGAGTTGATTTAAAGAATAAAAATGATATGTTGCGCATTATGCAAGAGAGAACATGATGCGAAATCAAACAAACCATTTTCGAAATTTTTTTTTCATGCGTAAATTTACACCTTGAATTGGTTTTACGATGTTTGATCGGATCTTTTCCATGAGGTGATTTTTACGTCCTCACCGAAAGGGATCAGCGACCTCTGTCGCAAGAAAACGCACTACAAAAATTGGTTCCCGCTTCGTTTTTTGATAACGTCAACATTGTTATGAAGACGATTTTGTTTTAATGAGTCAATGTTAAACAGCATTTTATACTGCGAATGATGTTTCGATTGTTTTGATTAAATGTTGAACATTTAATTACAAATTAATTAACACATATTCGGTAGCGTCCATACATTGAATACCTAATGTTGATTTTAATGTGTGATTTTGAATTAAAATGTATTAAATATATTTTAAGGGAAATCATACCATTTTTCAGAATGACAGAAGAAAAACGTGTATAAAATTAAAATTAACGTATTCAAATTCACTATCGCAAAAATAAAAACGGACATTGGAATGTCATAAAGCATAATAGGTGAACTGGCGAATAATCCCTTCCAATAAACTGCATTTACTTGCGTAGGTTGTTTTAGAGTTGCGTATACATGATGAAATGATAGCAGTGATTGCTATTATTTTTGCAAATTCTCAGTTGATGACGGACTTTTTTAAACTTGGAAAATAAATTATAAAACATAAAATTAATAAATCTTCATATTTTCCTGTGTTACAGTATTTATTGTACATGTGCTTATTACGTTTCTCCGGCCGATGGCCGATCTAATTTCAGTTTTACTGCCTATAAGTCAAAATTTCTTTGGTCATCTGAAATCTCGGAATCTGATTGGCCTTGTAAAATTATTAGGAAAAAAAAAAAGGATTTTTCTGACATGGTATACGCGTCTAATTTGTAATTGATCTAAAGGATTTCTGGAAACGATTTATCTACAGTTGAGTTCACACTAAACGTCCCACCCTTGTGCACTTGAACTAGAAATGCACACCGTGTGCACTTCTATTGCACTAGACCATATGACCAGACTGGCCAGGGAAGGTGACACCTAAATAGTTTATTGGATAATTGCATAACAAGTGACAGGGAGCATCCATTGTTTAGCTGCTGCTGTAAAAAACTTTGAGGATATATGGCCTATTCATGAATATAAATAAGTAAATTTTGAAATCAGCAGTTTTAACATTTTAGATGATATCATTTTAAAGCTTAAAATTAAAAAAAAATTATTTATTGTAATCATTAACCAGTATTTAACTGTGAGTGTAAAATAATACCCCTTAAAATTATAGAATATATAAGGTTAAATTTAAATATGCTCTGTAATGGATAATTAAATGAAGTGTTTTTAAAGCTTTTTTCTAAAATTTATGATTATGTATTTTAATTTTTCTAGTGTACAAATGTGAAAATCAATGTGATAATTCTGGCCCCATTTATTTAGTTTCTAACAACATTAACTTTTTTCATCAGCTCAAACTAATCAAGGAAAGGTTTATATTTAAGCTAAAATATTATTTTTATAATATATAACTTAGAAACCATTCCTTATGTTCAATATTGAAAGAGAACATTAATACATTGATTTTAAAACAATCAATATGCTGTGATAATTTTGTATTCAACCGTGAAATGCTTGCATATTTTTAAAGATATAAATAATTTAAATATAATACATAAAATAAATAAATTTGATATCTTTTTTCACGATTACAATATTTAAAAAAATAATGTATAAAGGGAATACTTTTATAGAAGAGGAAAGTCTCAAGTCGGAATATTTTTGAAAGTGATTGTTTTCATTATACCAGTCTCCTGCTGATAAGAGGGCCTCAGGGTAAATAACTACTAGTGCATATTTAGTGCACTGCAAGTGCATTTTGTGTAACCTTAAGTGTGAACTCAACTGTAGTTAAATTTCAGATACTTAAGTTCTGTTTAACCATTCCTTCCCCTCACATTATAAGTTTTATATTGCCATGCACCCTCCTACAGATTATTTTACGCTGCTTTTACGAGTTACAAATTTTGTCAAACATTAACGAAACCACCCCACGATCCCGTTTACTCATGCGCATGAACATAGCTAAAAGCACACAAGAAAACGAACTTATACGGAATTATCAGTTAAATACAAAGTTTATAATTTTCATGTGTTTTACATATTTATGAAGTATTCATAAAACTGCTAACGATTGAATTGTTTGCCTATAATTAATAAGTGTCAAGCTATTTTATATGAGAATGCTTTATTTTCGTTATTTCCAGAGGTGTTGCAAATCTGTTGATTAGGGTATTAAGTATCAACAAAACGTTGTCCTTTAAAAACTTTCTATAAAATTTTGATTTGAATAAACTTAAATTACTTGAGCTAAAACGACATTCACAATAATATAAATAAAAGTATTACATGACGATAAAAATGAACTTAGTACGAAATTAATTGTTTTGTTTGTAGTTCTTATTTACTTCTTTACATTCAAAGGATTTACTTCAGCCTTTACGTTTTGTTTCTAATTAAAATAATTTGTATACATGTGTCAACATATGTATATGATTTTAATATTTCAAAACTTTGAATGTAAAATTCAATAAAAGGCTCTATATCTTAATCCTTATGATTTCATTTCCATGTTTCCTACGATACGATATGCAAATAAAAAAGTTCGGCCGAGTATCTTTTACAAAGATACTTCTTGTTACTTTTATTTTTCGTCTGTCACGGAAGCCCTTGTTTGTCAATAATGCCATGCAATTTATTAATAATATCTTGTTGCAAAGATCAAAGACGCCACCATGAACAAAACATTATCTGAATCGTACTCAACATTTTCGCTTAATGCATTTTTACTCTCATATATATATATCGTTTCGATGTGATGAATTTCATTTTAGAGGAAATCGAAATTAGATTATTTAGCATAACAAAATACTTACATTTCAATTGACATAGCGTTCAATGGTTAGATCTAAGATGCTCTGCATGATACCTTTCTAAATGAAACTGTTATGTTTAGTAATGAATACCTTACATTGACGTATTAATGCACACGTTAATATATGCTTCATTGATATTCAAATGTAAGGAAATTATGATATTCATATCACATGAACACATCAATAATCATATAATATCATAAACAAACACCAGAAAAGTTGGGTGTTTATTTGGTATCTATAGATATTTTCATGCAGATAGAAAGCGGGCAATTTTGCCATTCATAACTCAGCAGATTTGTTGCATTGCATAAGCTGTTCACTAAATAATTAAGACAATCTTTAAAACAATGTAAAATGTTGTAAAATGTTAAATGGGAGGAAGCACAATTCAATCATCTCAAACATTCGAGAAATTTAACAAGAAAGTTTGATTGATTGTTAAACAGTTATTTAGTTTATACGTCTCAGAAAAATCCTTTTTATTATTCTATGAATTTTAGAATGGACTCTGAGATTCTTGGATTTCAGTTTGTAATTTAAAAATGACAGATGAAAATCCAACTTATATTCAGTTCATTTGTGTAAATTTTACAGGAAGTCAAACCGTTCTCTGACGGACTTCATCCGAAAAATAGACCTGCCTAAGTGCAGACAAAGCAAACATTAAATGTAATCAGACATTAAAAATGACAAATATTTAAGGAATTTAATTTTTAATAAATGCACTTAGCAATTATTCCAACATCTCTATAATAGATATTCAAATAAGAATAATGGAAAGCATATCAAAGTTAAGACACATTTAAAATTCATTTTATCGCGTCATTTTTCAAAGTAATAATAATTTTAGCGGATCTTTTGGCTTTCTGGCAGTAATTTATTTCACAATATGACAAAAATGGACGCTTCAAGTTTATTTCTATGAAACTACATGTACAACAGTTACTAGTATCCGATCATACTTATTACGATTTTAAATCACAAAATCCATAATATCTTAAACGCTCTAGAAAAACATAGTTCATAAAACTTGTATGCAAAATCTTATATAGAAAAAATATAACAAATAGAAACAAATTTAACAAAAAATAAAAATACATGTATGTCCATTTAAAACGCATTTGTGATTCATTTCCTTATTCAGAAAACTTTTGCACGGGAAAAATTTACCATTTTTGCTTGTACTTCTAACATAGCTTTTTTTACTACCGGTATTGTTCAACATTATACTATGTGGACCTGTGACGAAGTTTGTAGAGCACTCTCTTTTGTTTAAGATATCATTTATGTCAGGTTTGGTAATACTCTATTCAAACATATCACAGGAATTCCTACTTACTGTGCACCCCTGGTCGCCGACTTGTTTTTGTACTGTTATGAAAGAGACTTTATGTTGAGTCTCTGAAAATACACAACAAGATGTTATAGTAGCATTTACTTCTAGATACCGTGATGATATACATTACCATTGTGTTTATTAACATTGCAAGTGATTTTTTTCTTCTTTTTACTCTTTCAGACACGGCATAAAAATGCAATTTGGAATAGCTTTATGTGTTATTATAGTCGTCATGGCGTCCAGTTTGACTGAAGGACGGCGTACCACACCATCGACTCCTCTTAGAAATGAAAGTAAGTTAAATAGGAATACGATATACACGTATATTTGTCTAGTACAGATTAGATTTAACTTTGTTATTATAATCGCTTATATTGTTTGTTTATTTCTTTTTGTACAAATAAATATCTATACCAATGTACCATTCGTTGATATGTTTATTCGTTCACGTAAACGTGCTGACATATCTAGAAAGCCTTGAAATAAATGATAAAATTAATGCTCAAATGATCACAAAATTACAGAAGTATTGTTTATATCTTGAAGAAATTGGTAGTAAGAATACAAAATTATCGTTCAATGACATCGCCGTATAAACACACGGATAATTTCATTTTCACATATTTTTATCTAACTTTCAAGTTATCTTAAGACAGAGATCATGAGAAGTGTGTGGTTTCAACTTTACATAAAATATGTGAATCACATTTTTAGGATTGTTATGTTCATATTGGTAGAACTGGCCATGGGTACTTGAAGGTGTTTTGTTATTGTTTTCTAAATATTCTAAATTATACTACAAAAGTGCTTGTCTACAGCTTCATTTATTCTTAAACGTGATGGAACCTGTATCAACAGGATATTCATTGATATTAACGACTATGGCTTGTAACTGATTCATATTTTAATGTATGTAGTCTTGATACTCTGTTAGACAATTAATTTATTTTCTCATACACGGTTATATCCATAAAAGCTAAATGAAAATAATTTTCACTACAAATGGAATTAGTATTTAAACAAATGGTTTTCTTTTATGGTATTTTTATTCCAAAATGCATTGTGATTTAGCTCTACCTAACAGTTTATGTATTAATGTTTTTATTTAAAATTTCATTTTTTATAAAACCAGTTGAGAGGACAGAACCGACAGAACGACTATCACAAATGAGAACTCTGGTTGGAACCTGTAAAGTCGATATTGGAACTTGTCCAATTGGATCCAGTTCAACATTTCGAAAAATTTCAGAGTTTTGTTCCGATGATGGATACATCTGCGCTGAAACAGAAACGCGAATCAAAGACTGCGGACAGTTCGGAGGCATATCGTATGAATACGTTAAACGCTGTGGGTGTTGTAAAGATACTGGTATCGTTGTCACTGGTGTTGTTAAAGACCAATCCACTAACGACCGAGTTGGAAAAACACTTGTCTTTTTTGACATCCAAGAACGACCTATAGCTACTGATGTCAATGGTACGTTCAGAACAACCATTGAATCGAGAGTCCGGCGGGTTGTCATTAGAACAAAAAACAGAAATTACCTGGAAGCCGTCAAGGTTGTTGATATACCAGAGGGTTTTAGAGGTCCGGTGGAAGTTGAACTGTTTGTCATCAGGAAATCTAACCCTGTGAAATTTGATTCAACTGTCAATACAGTACTTTCTCTTTCAAATAATCCACTAGATCTAAAAGCAGGTCGTACATTTGTCGAAATTCAAGCAAATTCTTTCATTAATCGCCAAGGAAAGCCTTACAAAGGGAATGTCATAGCACGCATTACATTTATTGATACAGAATATAACCCTGATACAGAAATTAACTATGACACTGTAGCTCCAGGCGTATTTCAAACTGCAGTTAAGAATTCGGTTGAACCTCTTATCTCTGAAGGTGAAGTTTCCTTTAATTTTGAAAGTGCTGATGGAAAAGAAATAATCCTTTCAGCACCAGTGACATTTACTGGACGAAAAGATTATAAAAGTCTGGAAGCTTAATTCTTCAACCGGTTTATGGGAACTTGTGAAACCCTCTCAAACAAGAGGTAAACGTCAGGTATCTTTGGACGAGATACTGAGCATTGATACTGACCGTTGGTACAATATTGACAAGATCCCTGGCGCTCCAAGATGCTACTTTAAAGGTAGAATCTTTGATGAAATGAGTGGATTAGAAATTTCAAGCAGCAGTACTGCAACATTTAGGCCAGAAATAACTGCGTACACATCCATCGGACAGCGTTTGAGACTGTATGCCGGATACACAACTGAACCAAGTACAACATGCTATGAAGTGAGATGCCCAAAAGTTAGTAAACCTGATGATAACCTTGCTGGTTTTATCAGCATGACTTCAACAGAAGTGATTTCTATTGGGGGAATAAACTTTCCACTCGTTACCCATCTTACTCCAAGAGTATTTGCTGACTATGACGCTGCTGTTATACAGCCAAAACTTTCCGATGTTCAGTACAAAATTGCACCAAATAATTTGGACATTTTCGTAAATTTTGTTTCTGACATTGCTGGTCCGTTTTACACCGACAGAAACAAATGTGAAAGTTCAAGTGCCACACAGCCTGCTTTCCATTTCTTTAAACCACAACTGCCTAGTTACGAGCCGGTTCCTGATGATGCCAAAATTTGCACAGCAAGGATTGCCTTTAAAGATAGTTATAACTTCTACAACTATTTATCAGTCTTATCCTTTTTACCAAATGTGACGGGAATCAGTGTGTGGGAACAAAAAGGCTCGAAGTTCTACTACACAGACGCTGCACAAATGAAACTGTCAACAAATGGCAAAACACAATTCGTTTTTATTTGTCTTAAGTACAGATGTAGTACAGACAACGAATTCACCACTGTTATTATTGATATAGACATCCCTGTCGACCGAAGACCAGAATTTGGTTGTTCCGGAAAAAACACTGAAGATTCTTCACCAAACTGAAAAGGTGACATCGGTTCTATTGAAGGTTTCTTTAAGGGGCCAGAAGAAGTCGGGGCTGGTCCAGATTTCTACAACACGGAAGTCAACGATTGCCAACAGGAGACGAATGATTCAAAATTTGCATATGAGTTGTTTTGCTAAAGTAAATAAGAAAACAAAAATTCATAAACTCACAGTTTTATATTTAAAAGAAGTGTCAAAAATGCTAATGAAATGTTCTTTAACTCAAATATTTCAATGTCATTTGAAATAAACTTTCTTTACTTGCAAGAAAAAAAACAACAACAACAACAAAAATATAAAAATATCTGTACTTTGTTTTTGTTTCTTATTAAGTATAATATTTTGTTCTTTTATAGATACATTTTTCAAATGAGTGCTAAGCATCTAAAATATACATAATATATTTTATGTAATTATCTGGCTTGACTCTCAGTATTTGCATGATTTAGATTTGGTGTAATGTTCTTTTCTAAATTAATAATAAAAGCAAATGAACTGCAAATGAGATAATTGTTGTTTTCTATATACGATGGAAGGCTATATGCCTTATTGCAGCATCTCACAGCTTATTCACAGTGTATCTACAAATAAGAAATTGTGGCTAACAAATTATCGGTACAGCTGTCATTATTTGATATATTGTGTGTTATTGCGAGTGATGTAACCTTACAATTGTTTTTAATCTCCTATCATATTCTTCATTTGAAAATGAAGCTTTACTTAATTTTTGAGAATGATTCTCTTAATAAAACCTTACAAAAAATACCGATCATAATTGTCTGCAATTAATTATGCGTGAAGTTTGACTACGTCACTTCCTATGGTTTATAATATGAAACGTTAGTAGTTTAGAATAGACATATAAATCAGACTTTCTTTTCTGTAGCATAGTGCCCTAGCTAATAATAATAATAATAATAATAATAATAATAATTGTAATAATAATGAAAAATCCGATGAAGCGTATTGCTTTTTAAGTTAAGATTCAGTTTTAACGCTATTAAGTCAGTCACATATCTTTGTACCGTAGATGACTAGAGAAGGTTTTGTACTCTTGTTCGGTCAGTTCTTTGCAAATTAGCAACAACAAAAGATATTAATGGCTTAAAATCACATTGTGATAAATTTATCATATGTGTTCCAAATCCGAACATAAAAATTAAAGCTTAACAGGTTCGAAAGTTGAATGATAATGCATTAATAACTATTAAGGAACTATATAAGGGTCGAAAGCTTAACGATTTTTTCTTCTTATTTTACAAATATAACTCAATAATGTAAAAGTTACCGTTCAATAACACCCTCACATAGGAGTTTAACCAACATAAGATTTACAAACATATCTATGTAAACAATGCATATTTCGGTGACCATATGAGGTTTGTGCTCCTTGTTAATGCATTGATATTCATTGTATATTTCTGTTGATTTTATATGTTGTTTTTTTACTAAATTTGTTGTAAGTATGATTTCAGATAAACTATTATAATGTAGAAAAATAATCTAGCATGCTTCATACTATTCCTCTATCAAACAGATAAGGAAATTAAAATATGCACTTCTTCATAGAAGAATGCTTACACGTCATATGAAATCAGACATGACGTCAATTAATCAAATGACGTGAAGGCCTTCGTGATTTTATCCCTCTTCATTTGAACTCAAACCATGCATTATTCTACAACATTGCATTCAAAATTGATATATAATGCCAATATAAACAATTTATTTTCGTTCAACATTTCAAAACAAAATCGTGTACTGGTTTTAATTTTGTTGTTCCGTATAAGTGCAAAAAAGTATTGATGCAAAGCATCAAAGGCAACACCAAATAATATTTCTAAATGAAAGTACTAACTGTTGTGTACTTATTAGTGTCAGTGCTCATTTCGTCTTGAAACGAATAAACTACAAAATTAAATTTGAACTTAAATTGTTTGCTGTAACTGACTTCGGCTTTGTACTGCCCTTGCTGACTAATAAACGGGGCAGATTGAGATAAGAGTAAATGGATATGAAGGCTGAACTTGGTTTGCATTGACCAAATTTACCTAAAATGTCTGGCAATTTAAGGATAATAATATAATTTTGAGGAATAAAAAAATGAGTCATTTTGTTATGCAAGTAATGGTTAAACAGTTTGTTTAAGAACCCTAGCACCTATTTTCTCTAAAGTGGTCTATAGATCAATGTATAGCATTCAATTACAAACACACAAAACATTTTCTTATACATTTGTTTCGTATAAAACTACACATATTACCGAAAGTGAACATCCTTAATATTGGTCAAAGGTGACGGAAAGTAAAAACAAGCTTGAAATCCTTAATTGTTATAAAGGCAGAATTTATTGTTATAAAGAGAGAATTTGAATTTAAAAAGAAAAAGAATAAATAAATATACAAATCAAAGTAATTGAAGTATGAATGACATATAATCAAAACATCAACGCATTTTAACTGCAAGCCTAATACTGTGTCCAAAATATCTTAGCTATAATTATTTGACACCTGTGACCTTGAAGATAATACAACAGCAGGCATACAGTATCAGCGATCATTACTTTGAAGTAACATTGAGTGATATATGAACCAAGACTCTTAGGCAAGATCTTGACTCCATTATTTTTTTACAGACAACATGTGTTAACCCCCCCCCCCCACAAAAAAAAACAACAACAACAAAAAACAGGGAAAAGACAATAAATGTGAATTGCATTTTACTTGAATCCAAACCTTACCTAAAAAAGTTTTACAATAATAATGTAAAACAGTATACTTAACGAAACAATAAAAAAATGCATAACACACAAAAATGAATAAACAGTGAAAACCATAAAAACTAAATCTATGATTAATAACAAAAAAAAAATGAAAATAATAGTGTATATACCAGTATCAAAATAGACATCAATGTAGACCGGAGTCCGCCATTTAGTATTACCAGTAAAGCAAAAATAAGGGATAAGCTGTTAAACTGAGCAAGTCATTTCATAAAAGATAAATATCACATATCACTTATGTTTGTTTACTTGATTTTTAAGAATCAAAATAAAACTAATTAACACAATATGACCTAAACTTTAAATAAAAATAGCTTCTACCATGTGCCACAAAAGGCATTCCATAAGAGACAAAGCCGTTCACCGGCGTCACCAATAAATAAAGCGGTTAACCAAATCTAAAAGATTACAAGTAAAAACAAATGCGCGCACCAGCTATAAGTTATTGAAAGTAAGTAAAATGGTAAGATATCAAATACACCATCTACATGTCAATGGTGAGATTTGCATTTAATCAGAAAAATTGTTTTTCCCCTCATTTCATTGTACTTCGGTTGTTAAAATGTGCGCAGTATTTTTTACATTTTGTTTTACGTCCAACTTACGTGACACGGACACATCCACTCTTCAGATTGTTTACTTCAAATGTATGGGGTTTTTGGTTTTGTTTTTTAAAGTGTAAATCATTTACATATTAAACACATGTTTCAAGAATATAATATATATTTAATTTCTAGAAAAGTTTTGAACTCTCAAGTGCTTAAATTATTGCATACATGTATAAACCATATCATTTTGATGAGTTATAAATATCTTACATTTCAATTCTCCTATCAGTATCGTTAGATTAAGATCACTATAGTATTAATAGGATTTGTGGGCAAATTAGTGATATTCAGTACCGAATAAAAATATTATTTAAAAGTGGTGTGTTGCAACTACTTAAATGCCTGAACTTGTTCCACTGTTTGTTCCTTCGACCTAATAATTACTCAAAGACCTATCAAATTAATGCTTCCTTTTGGCTTTTATTTAAAGATCCGTCGCATTTATCATACAAATAAAATACCGACATCAATAATACCAATAGACCGCTAATACAGAGTTGATTTGTAATCACTTTTTTATTTCTGGCCCTGCAAAAGCCGTTTCACCTGCGCTACATTTTGGTTAGTTCATTTTACAACGAGAGACAAATGTTGCACGAGAAAATTGTTTGTTTGGTCGGGTTTTATGTCGCACCAACACTGTATAGATCATCTGTTGTCCTTCAGCTTTACTGTTAGAGGAAGACATCAGGTGCCCAAACAGGCACCTAAGTAGAACCATCAACGATCTGTAAGCTAGCTGGATAGCTTTCTCACATGAAAAAATCCGAAGACACCTGCGCGGTTTGAGCCTACAGGGGTGAGAATTTTGATTAGAATTTGGCAGCTGTCGACGACTGTACGATTGTAACATAAATAACAAACACACGTAAATATTATAATCAAACAACTGATCAAGATATTATGTATAATGCGTGTTCTAGAATTAAATTCTTTTAAATCCTGGCATGTCACTTTTCCAAAAAGAATAACTAAAACAAGACTTTGAGCGTGTAACGAAAATATTTTTACCCATCGCTATGGTTGTATATTATTTTTTTGAAATATTTAAAAATTATTTGTAAATTTGAAATACTTTCAATACTTAAAAAAGCCAATTTTTAACTATTTCACCCATTTATTGTAACGACAATCAAGAAATAAAGAACATTTATAAAAAAAACTCTCACACACAAAATATAAAAATATAAAATAACAACAATAACAAGGAACAACTAGAAATTAAAGAAAAGAAAGGAAAAAAAGGAGAAAAAAATGAAGACAAAATTACGTAAACAAATGTTTACATTTAAACCGAGTGGAAGTATTGACAAAAATGTAATGGGTACGTGATGAACGCATTGCAAACACATTGGTAAATTAGATTCAAGAAACATATATGCCGCAAGGATTTATGTTTTTCAGATTTCAATAAATTAAACAAGTTAAATATTTATACGCCGTCAGTAGAATTTTTGTTAAAGTCAGTAATTGAAGTTACACAACTTGTGAAATATGTGTTCAGTATAAAAAGTAAGGAAGGGTCATATCTGATGAAGGATAAAAGACATTATAACTTCCTTTGATCTTGCATAGTTACATGTTTTGGCGATCATACATGAACATTTTATGTACACGCGAGGTCACAAAAAATGCACTGTGTGTATTTTATGAACGAAAGTTCGTAGAACACGAAATACCCCCTTCATACATTCTGTTAGTGACCTTTGACATACTGATCTTAACATCAATAGGGGTCATCTGTGAATGATGATCAACTTCCTTACCAACTTCAATGATCATAGGACAAAACATACTGAAGCTATGTTTTCTCTGAAAATCGGGCCATAATGATCTTTATGATACATTAATAATCATACAAAATATATAAATGTATTTATACTG